CTCATTCTTTTTATTCATAAGGGCATGGACATGCTCCAGGGTTTCAGTAGCTCCTAAATGACAGTTTCATATCAGATCAGCATTTAGTAAATAAGCTCAAACCACAACAAATATTGATCCACTTTTCTAACCCTCCATCTACAGATAGAATACAAATTCAGGACTGTGGTCCTCAATTCTATGCCTTTACTCTGATGCCCTCTTCTGTCCTTCCAAGAAACACGTGTGCACATGTGTGGGCACGGGCACACACACGAATATATACATATATATATACATACATACATACATATATTTCTTTGTTTTTCAAGACAAGGTTTCTCTGTGTTGCTATGGCTGTCCTGAAACTCATTCTGTAGGCCAAGTTGACCTCAAATAGAGATCTGCCTGCCTCTGTCTCCTGAGTGCTGGGATTAAAGGTCTGTGTCACCATGTCCAGCTAAAATGTTAGAGTAAAAAAGACCATCTTTTTACTCTCATCTACTTATTCAGACTTTTAAATTGTAGAATACTGTGAAACAATCCATTATTATTTCTCCATATCCATCATTCTGGTTTGTATCTATGAATATGACTACTGTTCTCCATGCTGAGATTTTGTCTGGATTGAGTTTGCTGTAGACTTGTGCATACTGTCTCAACTTCTGTAAATTCATATATGTAAAGTCAACTTCCCTGCTGTGTTCAGAAAGTAGTTTTTGTAGTCATTTACCACTTCTGACTTTTACAGTCTTTCTGTGTCCCTTTCTCTGAAGATCCTTGAGCTAGCTTGTAAGGTGATCCAATATAAAAATTCTGGTGGGAGAGGGGTAGTGTTAGAATGTGGAAATGGGAAGATAGATGTGATTATATTTCACTGTGTACTTGAATGAAAAGCCTCAAACACAAAGAAAACTTTAAATTAAATAGAAAAATGTACATATTTAGGAACATGGATTACAACAGTCTTTGTTGTAATAGGAGCAGCGGGCCTGCGTCCCCAGCACCCTTGCCGCCTGCTAGCTTATGCCCCGAAATAACAACACACAAATTGTATTCTTTTAAACACTGCTTGGCCCATTAGCTCTAGCCCTTACTGGCTAATTCTGATATCCCGATCATCCCATCTCTAATAAACTGTGTAGCTCTGGTCTTACCAGGAAAGATTCAGCATGTCTGACCTGGCGGCTTGCTTCATCGCGTGCATCTGCCTGGGAGAGGGGAGCATGGTGTCTCTGAGCTCACTTCCTCTTCCTCCCAGCACTCTGTTCTGTTTACACCTCCAACCTATGTTTTAACCTATCAGGGCCAAGCAGTTTCTTTATTGCTTAACCAATGAAATCAACAGATTGATATATGACACTCCCACATCAAGTCTTCCCAGTCTTTCCTTCTCCTTCGTCTTCTGTTTGTAAACAGGCTCTCACTGTGTAGTAAATGCTAGCCTCAAACTCTTCATCCTCCTTCTTCAGCTTTCAGAGTGTTAGGATTACAGATTTAGCACCATTCTGACAAGGTCTTCTTTCCCTGTGATCTCAGCAT